AAATCAATATAAACAGTATTTTATTCGTTTTGTGTCCGATAATGGACAAAATTAATACTCCAAATGCATGCCAAGGCTTAAAGCAGCAACAACGCACACGTGTAAGTAAAAATAATTAAGTATCTGAACGAAGAATTCTAGTCTCTTCCCAAATTTGATTGTCCTGACTAATCACCTGTTAGGCCTAATTAATTTTAGAAGTTTTAAAGTATTGCAATTGTGATGTATTTTAATGTGTGGCTGTTGACGAACTGTGGTTGTTTTTTAAATTAATGAATTTTTTTTTAACTATCTGTTATTTTAGAAAAACTGATGATGGTGGAAAAATACACCGAAACGTATTTTGATTAATAAATAGAGACAATAAATGACTGAAACCCAGGAATGAATTTGATTTGGAATTGAAACACAGTCAGGAAAATATATACAATTGTCAATACTTGAAACTGATGAGTTTTTGACGACCCAAAAACCGAAAAGCTCATCAACACCATTTAGAAGAAACTGCGTTGAAAATAATCTCGGTTTTAAAAGTGATCGGAAAAGTCACAAGGCCGCTTTAAAGCGTGAAGGCCCTTCTAAGATCCATTTAATGATAGCGCACTAATTAAATCTGGTCGTAACTGATCATCTTCAAATGATATGCCGAACAGGAAAAATGCCTTCAATTTTTCGTTGAACGCGAATAGTAAGAGCAGACTTTCTTCTTTTCGGTGCATTTTTGGGTCAAAACAGAAGAGACAAACGCATCTCTTTAACCTGTTCACGCTCTTCTAATCTTTCTTTCTTCTAATCTAAACTTAAGCATCGCAGCAGTTTCTTCGGATAATTGCACCAATTTAGACCTCTGGGTTAAGTGATCACAACTGTACATTGCAAACAATTGCTGGAATGATGACAACCAGACTGAACACTTGAAATTAGCACGAAAAACCGGTGTTAAGTGTGGGAGAAGGAAACTGACCGTTTTTGGTTCACTGGCGTCTTCACTCAGCGCTTCTCGGCTGTGATTGGTCGACGACAGTTCCAGCTCATCGTTGCTGACCAATTGGGTTACATTGCTGCTGCTGCTGCTGCTACTCACGCTTACCTCCAATGAGGTTCTTTGGGACGTGTTTTCCTCACAGATCATCTGAAAATTAGTAAAGGGCATGAGGAGGAGTCGAACTCGGGCTGAAGTTCACTTACTTGGGAAACCAACAGGCAAAGCAGCAATAGCACGTTTCGCCATCTGCAACGCAAACACAAAACATGTAGAATCAGGGCCGTCAAAAAGAAACGAGAATCGATAGAATATTGCCATTGAACACTGGATTTTGTTGCATTTTTGGAATCCCCTTGACCGACTTCAGTCTAGATTTGAGTCCTGATTGTCTATTTAATGATTAGGTGCTTCACTTCTGTTTTCTCTCCTTGAGTACTGATTTGCTCAGACAGCAGAATAGCTAATCTCAATCAAACCAATCTCATTCTATTGAGGACGGAATTTGCGGCTCCGAAGCCCTTCTGCTTTCTTCAATCGGTTGAAATATTGAAATATCTGCAGGTTTCTAGAGTATTATTTCCAGCTGATAAGAGCTAATAGGTTCGAAACCGGTCCTGGCGCATCAGAAAAATCTGTACTTACATCGGTCTCACCTGTGTTCACGTGAAATTGTCGTCAACAGTTAAAGGTGGATAAAATAATTGTGAGCAGCAATGTGGAATTAATTGGATTGCGCCGTTCGGATGCCAACAGCTCAATTTTTTCCGAATCTAACGGCTTCTATGATTACGGCCGGTACCCCTAATTTTCCTGATTAAGTTTTTCGGGCGTCCCATTGAAAATGTCGCCTATTACGAGATGCAATTACTCCTAACGACTTTTCGTCTATTTCAGTCGCCGGAGCGGCAACTAAACTGAACAAGGATTTGTTGGACTGGGCTTTTAACATCAGCCAGTCCGTTAGGAGCAACGTATTTATTTAATTTCCCGAGCCGATTTTCAACAGGTGCACTCCCATGTAAATGCCTACATCCAACCGCGGAAATTCTTCTTTTTTAAGCAGTTAGCAGGCACACGCCCGAGTTGATCCCGTCTGCATATACTCGGAACGTGTCCGATTATTGGCAGAATTGACCGTTTATTTAATCATTTTTATCCTCGCATCGCGACCTTTAAAGAAGCACGAGGACAAGGAATCAACATCTCAACTCTTCCGGTTGCGCTTTTCACTAAATTCGCCATCGTTTCCCTTTGAGGACATGCTTGTGCCTCGCAGGCCTGCGGACTAGTTTGTACCTGTAAATCAAAGCTTTGGTGTAAATTCAATTTTTTTAGCTATTAACCCGTCATCGGTTTGTGGGTTAACTTGACTAACTGCCGTCCATCAACGCAATTTGTCTTGGAAAACTGAACGGTAATTGCAGCCGATGCATATTCATGTCGTCGAATTATTTTTTCCTCGTTCCTGTTGCAAATATCAGCCTTAATGCACCAGAATAAGGAAGGTTTTTTCAAATTATGTCCGTCCGAACCCCGCCCATTTTCCAACAGTTTTGACATAAACAGCTTCATTCATCTTTAGTGTCATTTAACAGGCTTTTGCGAGTAATCCCCTGTAATCCGGCGCACTGCAAAGTTCAAAATTCCGGGTATTTTTGCCTGCAACTATTGAAAATTGTATGTTTTCTCAAAGCGCAGCTGCCCTCGTCATTTTGGGGCTAATTTGCAGTCGGTAAAAGTGTTTTGGGCCGCATTAAGTGATCCGAAAAGTTCGGAAGTTTCACTGACAGTGCGAGGTTATGTGTCAGTTGAAATCTTAAAGTCACTGGACGTTTCTGCGACTTGCACAAGATTATCATTCAAACAAAACTTGGGTAGAAACTGAGCAGTTTTCAATGTGAAATGACTGTTTTGAATCGCTCGCTGTTTCCGCCCATTTGGCGCGCAGGCTGCATAGAAAAACGTGGAATATCGCTCAGGTAATAATGCTACTCTCATACATCATTCATTGCCACCCATAACGGACGTTTAACGTAAATGAATCATTAAGAATCAGTTTCGCTTTTTTCCTTGCTTCTCGCCAACCGTGAACAATTAAATGATTGAAAATCGACGCACCGGGAGACTCCAAATTGGTCAAAACTTGTTTTATGTAACTTTTGCTTTTGGTCATTAATGCGTTTTTCTGTCGCTTTGCCACAAAATTTTCATAAGAAAACTCGCAAAAGCAACAGATAGAATAACAGTGGAAAATAGCAGAAACGGCATTGGCCCAGAAAGCGTCATTGCAAGGTGAGCAACTGAACTAGAAAACTACCAACCATTTCTGTACTCTCTACATCAATTTTCCATCACTGGAGAACACCTCATTGAGCTTTTACTCCTATAGAAAGCTCGGATCAGGTTAATCTTTGGCAGCTGAGAGAAACAAGTGATTCCAAGTGCTGTCAGCACAATGCTCTAATTCCTGGTCTTAATTGAGTGTGTCGGAACGATGGATGTCTTTGTGAAGTGGCCAAGTGCCCAGGCTTGAAGCGGCGCGCAAAAACATTTGTACCAGTGCGGTTTGAGCCAATATTGACCACTCGAGGCTGTCTATTGCTCGTCTGTTCACTGAGTTGGCTTTGATGTGACTCCACTCAATTTGCGGCTAATAAATTCGTGTTTGTCCACGGCCAAATAGGCAAATGTTTGATGAATTGGGACATCTGCTTGGTGCTTGGTTCAAGTGGTCTGTCCATTGCTGGTCATCCGCATTATTTTAGCCACTGGTTTAGGAACTGGGGCCTGCCGCAGCAATCTCCTGTTGATTGGATCATTTCCTGGGCAAATTTGCACTGTTTATCGCATGCACCTACGATCCGTTAGACTAATTGAAGTGAAACGCAACTCGCAGCATCGAGCGTCCATTTCCTGGTCTTTGGTGGTCGTTGCGACCTTCGACCGATGATAATTGTTGTGCCGCTACGCTCGATTTTTATTCCTTAGTTTTCCTTTTGCTTGATCCGCAGCTTAATTATCATCGTGTGGAAACCTGTCGTCCGCAGGAATTTGGTTCTGACGTAATAGGCCCTTCTGACGACGTCAGCCAAACGTGCTGGTGAAACGGCGCGCCAATTTTTACTATTGTAGAAAAAAATGAGATTAATGCACCTGCCGCCCTGAAGGGAACTAGATGCGTTAAAACATCATAATTCCATCGCAGCAATGATTTCATCAAGTCATCACCTCGTTCATTAATGGCTCGTTTTACACCATTCATTATCATTCCATCTGTTGCGTTACCACCACGTTACGACCGTATGTGCCAGTGTGTTGAAAACGGATGCTGCCTATATTATACACGTTTTGCAATGCCTGCAATCTGTAATTTCGGTCTTTTGCCTCCCGTTCGCTGAATCTAGTTTACTAGGTGAAGCGATTTTATTTTCGATCAGCCCAACCTATCATTTCCGATTTGATGCAGCGACGCGAACAGGATTATTACCGCATTTTTGTCGCTGTTAATGCGACTTTGATTGTAGATTATCCACTCGAGAGTTGCTCTGTTTAAAGTTTAATCGGCTTTTCGTTTAACAACGTGATGCATTTATGGCACCTGATTGTCAAAACTTAACTTTTGAAAGAAAAATGATACTAATAATAAATAAAATAATCTGAGATTTACTGGCTTTAAACACATACCTTAAATCTGCTACCAGATCCATATCAAGTGATCAGCACGGCACCCACATGCGAGGTGGCAATTCCAAGTCCAATCAGTCCCGCAGCACTAACTAAACCCCTAAAGCCATCGCGTTTTTTTCTCTAGTGAAACAACCAAATTGAATTTCCCGATCTAGTGATGTACCTACACTGTTCCAGTTGCGGCGCAAGAAACGGTTGTTGCGGCGCTAAAGACGCGGGGGCAAATTAAACGGAGCAGCGAGCGCGAAGAATGGCCAAAGAGAAGCGCGTTTCTTGCGAAGAGAGCTCTCGGATGGTAATAAGTGTACTTCAAATTGCAATGAGATAGATATGGGCCCCCCACCACTCCTCCAAGATTGATCTTCGATTTTTCTAATTCACTCTATCTGGTTGATGGACGGTTTTCGGTTGTTCGGTTGGGGGGTTTCATTCCATCTGAAGCGACTGATACTTTCTGGATGAAACTCACAAGCAATTTTCGTCATTCTTGTCCACTGGAAGATTCTCCAGGGGGACGACACTGGTCCACCAACGCGAAAACGGTACCTTGCGGCTATTTGAATTTGACCAAAACAGTGCATGACAATTAATTTATTCAGAGAATCTGGTAAAGACGGAGAATTACGAACATTTTCAAAGTTGCGCGCGATATGCCACATAATGGATTATACACCTGAGCGGCGAAAAAATTCATTAAAATTATTAGATTGTAAAGGAGGATGACTCTTAACCGTGAGAAGCTGTTCCAATCGGTTGCCGTTTTGTTTCCTCGGCTGTTCATTGTCCTCCACTCAGACCCTTTTAGCTTTAGCCACCTTCTAAGGTCTTAATGGGCCCAGTCCGCTCTCACCGTTCCATTGACGCATCCAAAAGTAATTCAGGTTGAGAAAATGATAATTTTTCAGTGCCCGTTATATAAAATGTCGTTAACTGAGACCGGTGCCTTGAACTTGCCCTATACCACCTTTACTAAGCGAATTCGCGCAGTTCACGGTGACTAATTCGTCGGATTCCCATGCTAAATTCGACATTCTGGTTTGTCTTTGGCTCATTTGTTTCTCGGGTTTTTTTTTCGCCGACAGTAATGCAGTTTTTAGCGGTCTATATGGCTGAGTAAATTAGCCATTTTCTCCGATTTTTATCGCCACCAAGTACCTGCACTCATTTTGCCATTTGCGATTTTGATGACCAAGGGCGGTTTCAGGGGGGGGGTCATGGGGGGTCATGACCCCCCCATTCAATTCTCTATAAATAATAAAGGCCATTTAGTTATCTCTGGAATGATGTAAAAACGAGCGTTCTTGCTCATTTTGCTTCCTAGAAACATGCAAAACGGGATGGAAAACATGAAATTTTGCAAAAATCTTGCGCCACCCTTGCACAAAACGACGATCCTTTTTCTAATTTCATAGATAATCGAAGACTGTATTTTTTCTACATAACCCCCCCTTTAAAGTCAGGGGGGACTTTAAAGCTGGATCCGCCTCTGTTGATGACGCCATTCAGTCAAAGAGCCACCCGTTATGTGTAGTGACCTTGACAACCGGTTGTTGATTCACATCAATATCATATCTGTCATTGCCTGACACTGACAGATATTGACACCGTTTGACCACTGTACCTACTCCCTACTCTTTACTACTCCTGGAAGGCTCTGCTCCAATTAATCTCCTATTCCTCTTGGTTGTCCAGTATCTGCCTCAATTGATGGCGCCAATCGTCCAGTTAGGCCTGAGTAATACTGTGTCTTAAGACACTAGTGTGTTAATGCCGCTCTGTGTGTCCATGTGCCGCGACACTTGGCTCTTAAGACGCGGCACTTTCAACACTTAACATTTAATCTCATTCAAAATGACATAGTTTGGCGCAGTTACCATATGGTTCTTGACCCTCTCGGCAGAGACTATTTACGTTGTAAAGCCGCACGAACGAAAGTGCTCAAAATACTTGAAAAAATCAGACTACTTAAAAAAATGTTTTTTTTTTTTTTTAAATTGACCCCCGCTCTTGGAAAAATGTTGCTTGAGCTCAATCGATTCCTTTCGAGACAAGGAGGTCACAAATATGCATTTATTGATGTTATATATGTATGTTTGATAAAGATCGTGACCGATCAAAAACGCTGAAAATGTGCCGAAAATGTCTATTATTTCGGATCTGAAACTTCTTACATGTTTTTCAATGAGTTCCATGCATTCCTCCCGTCCGTGAGCTGAAAATGATGCAAAGTTTAAGACTTTAGAGATGATTTCTCGATCCCTTTGTTGGCGTAAGAGCTTGCAGCTTCTGCTGTGTTACTGAGGAATTCCTCCATTAGGTACTTTTCGTATTTTTTTTCGTACTCTCCAAGTGAGCTTCTATAACCCTTTAAAAGGAATGACGCCAATTTTTAATCACCCTGGTTTTCATCGCATGCACTGTTCAGAAAACCGAAAAAAAAAGCGCGTTTAGGCCGTTGTGAAAAATAATTTGTTGCTGTCGTTTAACAGCCACTAGAGGTTGGTTGTTCGATGCAGCCCCACTCTGAAGATGCAGGCCTCTCGTGCGTGCGAAACAAGTTCGCCCGTAAAATCCAGATTGTTTGATTTTTTGGCGAAAAATCGCCCGGACCAGGTGCGAAAAAATCCCAAAGCCATTGTATGGTCGAAACTAATCCTCGGCCTAAAAAGCACCGAATTAATTCATTAAAGGATGTACACGGAATTCGTAGTCGGAAAAGAGCACAGCCTACAGTAATGATTAAACAATCAGATATGCCGGCTTCTTATTGGCGTTAACACGTTTTTTTTCGATCAAAAATGTGCATTTATTTATTGGCACAGTGGTGGCGCGTCAGGGGCATGGCATGTTGCCTTGAAACACGCTACTGCATTTGCGTATGTAGGAAGTAAAATAAACTAAAATTAGATTTTAGAGAAAATTTGTCAATTAAGTTCCCAAAGCAATAAGAACCTGCATTCCAGAAGGATTCAGTCTCTAAAAGTAGCGTCAACTTTAAACATATTTGACATTGTTATACATTTGAAGTTTTGAAGAGCATAATAGAACAACTAACCACAACATGCGCTGACAGATTTGTCAACAAATTTCTGCCCGGATGCATGGTTAACGTCGTGAGCTGTTTTGTAGATGGTTGCGAAATCGTAATTGATGCCAACTGTCAAAGTCAAATGTATACATTTTTCATAAAACTTCGTAGATTGGAAAAGCTTTTTCTTGACAAAAAAATAATTTTTTCTGCACATGGCAAATGAATGGGGATGGCGTGAGCACCTGACGCCACTGCATAATAAATATCTAATGATTGGATTAGCGCTGCAATGAAAAAAAAAACCCGCAATACTTTTATTATATCTTCTTCACACAATAAATCAATTTCTATGGGAACGCAGTTGGAGATGAAACAGACGTAGTAGTAGTCGGTCCGTTGATGAACTGGAAGGCCGCTAGTAGTTGTTTTAATGAAGTATTCGGATCACACAGTCGGGTGGTTCCCCTTGGAGAATGCGCCCGATCCCGAATTCAATGGAAATAAAGCAATTTTCCTTAATTAAGCCGTGTGATTTCAAAATGCAGTAGCCGCGGCCAACACCACACGCTCGCCGAAGTAATAAATACTTCCTTCCGCTTGCGCCACTGCAAACCTTAACACACTTTTCGGGTGTGCGTTATCGGCCGCATCTTTTTCGGTATCCGCCGGTTGCATCAGTCGATGACGATCCGTCATTATACTGGTCATAACTTGGACTTGAAGGTTAGGTTTTTCTAAGCGAAACATTAACCCTGCTAACCCTTGCCAATTATGCAGGGTGATTCACAATGGGCGTCATTCCTCTGGAGGTGTTGTCTGGCACTGTTATAGGAGTACAGGAAAAATTATAAAATAAATTAATTGTTAGTAAAAACTGAGAAATTTGCAAAAAACTATATCAGAAATACGGCAGCAATGTTTTTCAAGGTAATCTGCCTAATTAAGTTTGCGCAAATACCTATGGCTTCGTAATTATTTAAAACTCCGGTAACCATGGAATTATACAGACTGACAATAAGATAGACAAGGATAAACGGTAAATTCAACAAGATTTGTTGACGAAATGTCAACCTGTTCTCATAACCTCGAATATGGGTGTTTATAAATAAACCCTACAACACCAAACATTTGAATGGTTAACTCCAGACAAGCTAGTGCCTGTGTAATATCCTTATTATCCACTCTTATCAAGCAGCTTCTCGCATTCAGTTAATTAACTCCTGCTCCATTTGTACATGTGTGTGCTCCTTGTACTGTGTGTATCGTACCAACGTGGCAGGAATGTAGCCCTTACTCGTTATTTATTTGGTGCTTGGGAAAGTGTCAGTTATTGTGCTCTGAGTGCCCCTGGAAGGCCCTGATTCGGTTATGTCCAATACGTTATCCTCTGTGCTTGGCACCCGAACATCTATCGTCCACTATCTTCCTGGAACCACTTTCCTCGCCCTTTGTTGGCTTGAGTTCTTTCAGGTTCTGCTATCTTACTGTAGCATTTCCCCTGAACTAATCGTATATCCGCAAATTCGTGTAAGGAAATTCAAAGTAAACAGTTTGACAAATTATTGTTATTATTGACAAGGGCTATACACCTGTAACTATATGTTAATGACAAAAAACATCATTGCCGCTGTGCGTTTTCATCAAAAAATTGTAGAAGAGAACTTTTTTGATATCAAAAATTTTCGTAATTTGAAGCAAAGATCATAATTTTTCTTTTTGAATGCTTAAGTATTCCAATATGCTTCCAATTAAACATGGAAATTTGAAATTCGATCTTCAACTGTTAATATCTTCTAGAAATTTTGGAAAAAAAAGTTTTCAATATTTTTCTCGTACTCCCCAAGGGAGTCTCTATCACCCCTTAAAAGGAATGACGCCAATTTTGAATCACCCTGTAGATACCAGTCGCTCTCTCTCTACCTCTGCTGGCCAATGCAGGATGTAAATGGTCTTTTCAAGGCGGCTAAAATTAACGCCTGCCTGTTTTAATTAATATTCAAATGATCCGAGAATTATAATCGGTGTTCTTTACTGTGCTCGTCTAATAGGGCCACAGTGGCGTAGCACTGGGGTCTCACCTGGACCCACTCTTCTCATGTCTTTGAGTAGTTGTTGACACCAGCTGTCAGGCCGACAGGAGTGATGCGTCTCGCAGCTAAGTTGACGGGAAATGTCAAAATAGTGTCAAAACATTGCGCGCCTCTAGCTGAAAAGTGCGCCCCTGGCAATAAAAATGGCCGTCCAATGAATGACGATAGGCAATTATTGTTTTTACTCT